AGGTTCTCAATTTTCGCCATCAGTTTGGCAATTGCACACAGCATGTCTCTTATTCTGAACACTGTCATGGACGACTTTTTAGGACGTGGGTTGCAATACGCCACGAACAATCAGTTTACCCTGAAGCTTGACTCTACTTCCACCGCGGCCTGCAAGCTGATGGAATACTTTCCGAATGCTATGTACTTTGCCGCATCGTATTTAATGGTTGCATTTTCGATTGATCGGGCTCTCACCATCTACCGTCCGCTTCGGTTTAATTCCTTCTTCTATCGGAAGTATGCTACTTTGACCTGCGTCCTTGTCTTCGTTGTTGGGCTTCTGGGAAATTTACCCTTCTTACTGATTCAAAAACTGCAGGCTGACTCTGCCGTCACAACAAACTACACTTGTGTGATGAATCGCGACTATCCGAGGATGGCTAAATTCGCGATTGTCTTCAGTACTCTTGTCACCTTTTTCCTGCCTGTCTTAGTAATCTTTGCTCTGAACATCCTTATAGTCGCCCGCCTTTGGCAGATACACAGATGGAGGAGGCGTCAGCTCAAGATCAAAACTCGCGTCGTCTCTGAGCTAGGCCGGGCAGCGGGACATTTGGCAATGAGTACCGCTTTTCTGCTGCTCTACGTGCCGGTTGGTTTTGTCGTACTGGTCCGTCTGCATTTTACGGAAGTGCACGGCGATGACACTAGCGCTGCGGCCCTTCGAATTATTGACTTGTCACGTCTCTTGTCCTCTCTCAAGGACTTAGCCTACGCAGTCAACGTCGTAATTTACGCGGTATTTCTGAAGAATTTTCGAACACGCCTATTTCAACTTCTGCTCTGCCAGAGGAGTAACGAAACCCGCCACAACCTTGCTGCCCGGACGGATAAAGACCCACGGAACGTCTGAATGCCCGATGTGTATGTGATCAGTTTCAAGTTAGCGTGATCATATGCCAGGCATCTTGCGCATCTTTCTGTCTGACTTGTGTACTCTTTCTACACGTGGGATCAATGCCTTTTGTATGTAGATGCATAAACAGTGATTGCGGCCAAAATCAAACCATTTGAGAGGAATTAACCGGATTCCATACCTCTGACATACTTCATTATCAGTGTAAAATGGACTACCCTTTTTGGAACTCAGCAGAACAAGTGGTCAGCAGACTACTTCCAGTGGCACGACTTGCCCAGATCACATCAGATTTGAGTACCAAATACAGTTTAAAGTAATTCTTACGTCGCATGCTGCCTAGATGTGGACATACTAGAGCTCGCTAATCTCACCAAGAACTAGGGCATAGAGACGATTTCCCTTACCTATGGTTGTTTTAATAAATCTGAAAATTCTATTGATAAACACCAGCGAAATTGGAATGCCTAGCTTTAGTTTATTTACCGACATCAGTCAGTAGTGTCTCTAGAGCAGGTGACGGCGCAACCCACGGCTTGAATCCGGTTCCGGTGTGTCACAAAATATTCAGTTTAAATGCCCTTACCAGCTGAAGTGCATGATACTTCCTCTGCCAGCTGAGACTGAGAATGTGTGATTTTACGTTGCAATGATGTTCACCGATTAACCCTGATTGTAGGACTGAAAACGGGTGATCTCGCGCTTGCAGTCACACAGTAAAGAGCAATGAATAACCTACGCGTTTTACTGGCAAAAGGAAGGGAATTGTAGGGGCCATTTCTGGCTTCCTTGCATTCCCCGGGATGTTCCCGTTGACTGCTGAACCCTGAATGTCTCCTTCGTTTTGTCGCGACGTCAGAGCAGTGTCCTTATGCGTAAGTAACCCAAGGGCCAGCCTTGAACGAACAGTATGGTCAGTGTCCTAAGTTAACTTCGCGACCATAAAATGTTTTATAGCATACCCAACAAGAGTCATTTTCGTTACTCACACGTTGGTAGAATAAGGACAGCTTGACCAAGTTTACTAATCACTAAGCGATTTCAAATCGCGATTCCTAAGATGTTTGTCTTCAATGGGACAATCGGTTAGCACAGAGTTAAATGAATTCGTTTCAAACCCAATTTCCTACATCGTTGAGTGAAGCACCTTCAGGGTTTTTGCACCCGCAAACTGCGCATTTGATCGAGCAAGTTTTTGTCCGTTTTCTGCAACTTTGGCTAAACTGCAGGGCAAATACTAGCTTTACTGAACGAAGTAGATTGTTTTTGTTATCTTTAGCGGCCATGACACAGTGTTTCGGTATTGGGATGCACCTCTGGTTTTCCGGAAACTACCAGTAGACAAATAAGGACACCTTTGAGTTTGGTCCAGCATACATTCCCTAAAAATATGCGAAGTCCGACTTACTTATGACTAAATAAGATGACGTGACGCTCTCGAGCGCTTTTTAAAAGAATGATATGTAGAGTGAGAACGGTGCATCGCAAAGGCTTTGGACAGAATGAATAATTCCTCAGTTCACTTACACTAACAAGCAAAAAGTGAAATGAAATTTGAGATGATAAAGGTCATACACCATTCGTACAGTGGTTTCAAGGAAATAGACCCGAACACGTCGTTCGCAGTATAATGAAGCCACACGAAAGATGACGTCCCGTCGGATTTCCAGGGACTGGAGTGTACTAGCGTAGCCAATACCACGGCATGCCTGCGGTAGTGGAAAGTGGAGCTCCTGAAGCAGCCCTGGTAATAGCCTTTACCCGGTTCCATCTAGTCCACTTGCACGAAACTGATAACACTGTCCGGCGCTTCTTCAGCTTTTAAAACTCCTCGTTTTGCCGTCACTCCAGGTATAGGTAACAGTCCCCTCCCCCAGTGGCCTGTTCAAAGTACGTAGGAGGCGTGTAAAACATAACACAATTACGAAATCTGAACAAGCCCGCAACAAACATGGCGAGGCCACCTGTAAGTGACATTCAACGATCTCTTATGATCAGAGAATAGGGTCCAAGCCCTTGCCTTTGGCCTACAATTCCTCTATAGAGCTAACGCGGGCGTTCATGTAACGACAAACAATAAACATATCGAAGATAGGAACCGCTCTCATTCCGTCCTGCAATCAGGAGAGTTGGATGGACGGCATTTTTTACAACGTTGGACAGGATAGAGTCCGTGACTCAACTGCGCAGCAGATAGTTTAGTGTAAGTTGACTAAAAACACGAATGACAGTTTTGGGTCTTCCCCGCCTGGTGTTGGCGTGCGACTACGTAACAACCGTAAATAAGGAAGAAATTTTAACGGATGCAATTTTCCTTCGTTAGCAACACTTCGATTATTTATTGCTCGTTATCATTGAGACTCTCCCCTGCAGTCAAGACAAGTCAATTTATATCATCCCTGTATGACTGTAAATACTTTTTGAAAAATATACTTTCATTTGCCACTGCAAATAGTTCAACCATTAGATGCCGCTAGTTCTATGCTTTTGCTTCGTTAGTGCCGGTACCATACGCCCCGGTAAGTTGCGGCCCGATTATTTACCCGAGAAACCATAAGAGCATCTGCTTTAGTTTAATCCAATGAAAGACATTCTCAACACTCTCTCAACAAAACTTTTGGGTTGTGCGCGTTCCTCGTTTCCCCGGTCGACCTTATGAGATTCTATAATCATAAATTCGAGACAATAGAGAACTGTTGATTTAAAAGCACAAAATAAATGTACCCTTGACTTGCAACGTTTACCACTTAACTTCCAGAACTCGGTATGATGTCAATGAGCTTCTCAATCTTTGTCTCAGGCAGCTATTTACGCCCAGGGAGATCAAAACTTTGATTGGAGCTCCCGAATTTCTGAAGCCAGGCAATTCCAGAAATGTTCTTCGGTTAAGACACTGGAATCGATGACGCGAAGGACGCTTACCGGCCGTAGTACAGTCATTTGGACGATATATTGACATCGTAGTTAATGTCCAACTACACATCCCAGGTCCTCCCCCTCCCTCGACAAAACTTGATCCACTGCATTCCTAACCAACCTTGTTTTTGACAGCGGTCGCGTTGCTTGATTTACCATACTCGTAGCGCGGGTGCCAACAAAAAAACTATTACGTTCTTTGATTTTCAGTCCTCTTTATAGTTCTTTTACTCACACTTCTCAGGATCACGAGACACAAAAATTTTAACAACCGCCTATCTAAAAAAGCCTGTTTGAGCGAACTTGAACTTTCGCTGGACCATCGTCATGTCTACATTGCCTAATGCACGACCCGGTTGTGCCTAGTGGAAGGTAGGTAGACCGACGGTGTGAAAGACGTGGCGGGGATGTTCACATGATGGGACGGTTATGGGAAGGGCTAGAGGACCGAAACGCCTCACAACTCCTGTTCGAAGGTCGTCAGACGTGATTGTGTTAGTAGTTTTGCTGTAGGAAAACAGCGGTGATTGGGCGGGCACGAGGCGTCAGCTGCTGCGACATGCTGGTTTTCATCGCAGTTGGCCACGCATTGGAGACGGATGTTAGCCAAAATAGGTGCGAGGCTTGGATGAAATCCATAAGACAGAATGTTCCGCCGTCCAGCAGCTTTGACTAACTCGCCGGGACAACACGGACTGCACTGCAGGCTTCCTTGTAGCTCGTTTGATCGTCAAAGTCCACAAAGTGGGCCAAGATAGCGCCTTAGATGGACTTTGTCGTCCACACAAAGACAGGTTGAGTGGTGTTTGATCAAGAACAGACGAGGATACCTCTTATTTCTTAAATCCTAACCCAAGCTCCGTCATTAGGAGATAAATAATTGTTTCGGACAACAACAGCAAAGGTTAGGGGAAGCGTCATATAATTGACCGGTTTGCCGATCGCGTCGTATGAAGATCGTTATTTCC